TAATAGTTCGTGTAGCGAATGTAAATTTCCCCTAATTCCATAAATCCTATCATCTTTCAAATTATGTGAATGCGATGTGGAGTAAATATTAACATGGTGCAAAGCTATTTTATATGACATTTAATCACACTTTAACTTTTATTGCTGTATCGCAAAATCGTACAGCGATGAGAGAATGGAAAAAAATAATCATGCCCAGAGGTACCGACTTTTAATCATCTTCGCTACGTGATGGGCACGCGAAATGTCAATGATGAAATTCGATGGTGTATTCGTTTGGAGAGAAATTTATAAATAATTTATTCGCGATTGCTCGATCGATATGAATGACAGAAAATCGTGTGAGCACAATAGCACATACATGTAATACGCCGATCTGATTACGAAAATATATGTATAACAAAATTAAAGTGTGACGAAATTAACAACGGTACAAAACAGGGTCAGTCAGTTTCATCCGTTCGTATTTCAAACCGTATTTTGATGACCATACTAATTTATGATCGCAATAATTATGCGATAATTTTTATAATCCTAGTGTTATTTTTAATACATTTTGTTAATAATTTCTTATTTTTAATTGCGTATGTTGATATCATACATCTTTAATATGATAAAATTAATAAAATCAATATTACTTGCTATCTTTCATGAAAACTTTAATCTAATTATTTTCATAAAAAATATTAACGGACTTTGTACAAAGTTTTGTTTTTGTCTGAGGCTGTATGTAAGCAGCAAAAGGAGAAATATGTTGAAGAGAGCATAACTTCGCGCGGGATCTTCCGGTTATGATTTCATTAAAACTTCGTGAGACTTTACTCAACAGAAACGATTCCGGGACCTGTAACGATTACTAAACTTAGCTTGAACGAAGGCATTAAGCTTGAATATGATAATGTATAATTCTTTGTCTTAGTTTTTTATGTTTGCACCTAATTGCTTAAAAATTTTTTAATACTGAAAAACTCATGTTTATTGTTTTTCAAATACATATATTTATTTTGTTTGTTATTTCTTTATTCTATCAAATAATTATGTGAATATACGTATATATGTATTACTTTATTTATTAAGTACACATAAATTTTTACCATAATCAACTTTTATAATATAAAATTCTACGAGTTAATTAATTTAGCAGCAGCTATTCGACTTTTTTAAAATAAAATATACAACGCAATCTGTTAGCATACAGATCAAGAATTTTGCTCAAGGCTTGCACTTCCAAACTCATTATTCAGGGCAGCTGCACCCGCTAAAAATTTCTCGAGGCTTTTCAGGCACCCGCACTTGATAAAACATTTCCCCATGACGCACAAGCGCAGGGCCTATCGGTGTTTGGATAAGCTAGTGTGAAAATAAAGATCACATTAATTTATGTCGAGAGAGGAAGTTTCATACATTGTGTATGATGTGTTTGGAAAAGCATCCGGTATTGCTGGATTCTTTTTATTCCACAGTCATCGCAGTGATAGTGACAATTATTGTTCCCTCTGAAGGAAAAAGGACTGCTTTAAATAAATTTATACCTACTGCTAAAATTATTTTTGACAAATTTTTGCATTTTCGTTGCATTATCGCCGCTTTTCTGTTTCTCTAACCGTTTCAAAAACAATCTAAAGAAGCGCACATTCGTCTTGTGTCGGAAGGTTAATAATTAAGACCACATATATTTCGACTAGATAAGGGTGTAAGCAAACAGTTGAACAAAGCTCCGGGTGTTCGTTGGTCCCCACATCAAACTTGATGTTGATCGCAATCGATACAGTCGCGCTGTTTTTTCCAGTAGCGAGCCTGAATGGAGTTTCTATTCGCGTTACTCGGTCGCTTCATTCACACGTCGCGTCGAGTGAATGTTACGTTCGATTCGCATTCATCCGTTCCGCTGGCTACCGCAAACAGCGTGGCGTCTATCGCCTTTCCCATGTCCCCCGGTTCAGCGATGCGTTTATGCATATGTATACACCTGCAACACCGGTCTCGGTAATCCTAGTTCGATTTTCGCTACGCACCGGAACATGCTTCACAGCCCGCAGCACTTTACAATTCTTACATCTTTTCGTGCTTTTAAGACAATGAGACGGAGCTAAAAATGTTTTAAAGCGGTTACAAGATAACGCTCGCTATTACTGTCACTGCATTTTTAAATTGTCCGTGGTATGTATTTATAGAATAGAACGCCAACCACAAAGTCATATAGGCTGATGCACCGCCGCAAGCAAACCGTTCGTAACACTGTGTTGTGAAATTTGGACTGCAAGGACGAGTACTCATGATTTATAACTCCCTATAGACTAACATTTTTATTGCACAAAACAATGTTTTCGATCTTATATGTTTTTAGAAGTAAATTGGATATGAGATCTAAGAAAATTAATATAAATCTAACGTGGTACAAACAAATGGAGAAAGTTAAAGACTTCCTTTGTTTCACAAGAAACCGATACACTATCTGCAAATATAGTATATTATTCAACTAAATTACAAAAACAATAACAGTGAATGATTTTAAATTTCAATACTCTCTATATTACTCTAATTCTTTTACTGCAACCTGCTGTTTTTGTAAATAACAGCACACAATGACATTAAAGTTTTTATTTAATAAATAACGAAAGTTAGATACATAAAATAGGTAAATACAACACAGTTTCTTTATATACGTCGGGTATATACGATACATATGTCGAGATACATCGATGTTACAGAATGAAAAAAAAATACAAATAATTATAGTTTTAGTAAAAATAAATAGTTTTTAATTTTCTGAAATTTATATTCTGAAAATGGAAGAAAGAATATCAATGTTTACATGATAGTTTTTCAATTTAGAATTCACATACAGAAAATAATAAGAATCTATTGTTGTTATAACTTTTATAAGAAGTGTTACATTGTTTAGCGTAATGTAATAATTTATCGCAATATGTATTTTTGTAGTATATACATGTTTTTGTTTAATTTAACTTTTTTCAAGCAATTTTAAGTGCTAAATGTGATAAACTTAATAGATATTAAAATTATATAATGGTAATAAGGCTCAACAAATTTAATACAAATGGGAAATAGAGCTACGAGCCGAGGTTAATACATATGGTCAACATTAAAATACAAATAAAAATAAAATAAACATCCAATAACTTTAATACGAATACCGGTAATCACAAACGTTTCGATCCGTATCGGATCCTTCTCAATGTTAGAATTGATGAATATATATGAATATATAACTAAATTAATAGACATTAATTATATTTTGTGTGACTAGTTATACAGTATATTTTTCTTTTTAATTCTGATCTAAAAATTTAAAATCTAAAACTCAATTGTTTCAGGAATGTATGTATTTAAAAAAGCAAACTTCGCGTTTTTCAAATCGGAAGTTTGTGTCTGAGTGTTCTGCTTCACCGATTTCCTGGTTCTTCGTGATCTTCCTTTTCTCTGTAGCAACAACATATAGGGTGTATCTTATGTATTGGCGATGTACTTTACAGAGATTATTTATGTAAGAAAAGAAACATACATTGTTTTCGAATATTTTCTTTGTAATTTTTTTATGAAAGGCTTATACAAAATTATTTTTATAAAGTTAATTTGATTTTTCAATTTTATATTTTCTGGAAAATACAATAGAAAATTAAAAGTAAGAAAAAGAGAAAAACTAAAAGTTTTACTAATTCGTGAGTTTTTATTAGTTTTCAAGATAATACTGTGAGTTTAAGATACAATTAGATTTAAACGCTTTCTTTCAGACGTTAATTATAAAGGATAATTAATCCTCTCAAAATACTATAAATGCTTAAGTGTGAACAGATCTTTATCATTAATTTTACGTTATATTTTTAAATATACACATGCTTGATCTTTATAAGCTCCATTCTTTCTTGTTAGCATACCTTCTTGTTTAGATCTTGTCGTGAAATTGCGAAGGAAGGAATACGAAACGAGTCGCGAGAGGAATTCCTAAACGCGAAGGGACAGACAAGCTGCTTGGTATAAGTTGTAAACTCCGTTTATCCTCGATTTGATAAACGCCGACTTCTCGTTAGAAAGGAAGTACTACGTTACAGTTGAATAGATTGTAGGAAATACCTTTTACCCGATGTGTAATCTTAATTCAACGAGGCGCTTGATGAATACACAATATAAAAGCAGTAAATTATACTTTAACGGAAGTTCCTAAAAAAAATTAACTTATTATTATTGTTTTAAATAATACATATATTTAATAGTTTCACATAATACTGTAAAATTTATAATTTATAAATAATATCATATATTTCCTTATCTTATCTAAGTACAAGGTTTTTAAGTACAATGCTAGTTTGAAGGAGAAAATTAAATGGAAACTAATTTGCATACAGAAAGCTCAGTGAATTCAAAAATTTGTGTGCAGATTGCACATCGGTTTTTTTCTCTCATGAGAGCGGATGTGCTTGGTTATCGCACGTACGAGTTATCTTCTTAGGAATAATAAATCATCTAAAGATGCATACAATGGATAAATCTTTACGAGAAAATGCCATAAGATAGATTAGATTATCAAAAAATTGAATAGATTAATGGAATTGCATGAATATATAATACTTTGATCTCGTCATGTATCAGAATATCTTTTATTTTATGAGGTTTTATGCCGTTGATAATGTAGTCTTGTCTGAAATAGAAAAATTATTAATTATTTTTATATTAATTAATATATTGTGTTACTAACCTCGAGAGATTTGATGAAACTCTTTCAATATTACAAAACATATTATTGGTAAGATTATCGGATACATTTTAACCATCGTATAAGTTATCTCTATTGCCATGTTGTTATAATAAGATTGTGTTATGAGAATGATAACTCTCGCAATTCGATATGGTACCATAGTTACAAAAAAACCAGTATTAACACCAACTGCGCAACACAGAAGTTATTTCAATATAATGAAGAAGCATAAGAGATCTATGAAGACTTAAATAATTGCCATATTTGCATTAAAATGAAATTTTTACGTACTCAAAAAAATAAAACGCTTCATATCTTTGCTTAACCACGTTTCAGTTCTTGATTTTAACAGTGTCAAGTCATGTAAGATGAAGTAGTTGAGCAAAACAATAATGAAACACGGGAATATTATGAACATAATAGTGGATGAAACGTAAATGTCGTACATAATTTCTTTCACAAAATGATCGTACAAGTGTAATTCTATGGCTGTTGCCATTATACACATTGTCCATACGAACAAGATTCCTTTTATAGCTGTCGAAATTTTTAAAAGCGACTTGAGAAGAGGTGAATTTTTTTGATAAACGATAACATACGTCTCAATATTTAGTAGAATTATCGTCAAGTTGGACGTGGCGTAGCTCATTAAAAATACGTAATCGAGATTCATCTCTAAGTTTATATCGAAAATCCAGTTAAGTACTCGTTCAAGTGGTTCAAGTAGGATTACAAAGTTTGATAATATCAGACTCATTATGTAACAGTTAGTGGACGTGTGCATGGTAGAATTTAATACGATAAAGAGACCGAGAAAAGTATTTAGGCTAATGCCTGCCATCAGTAGCGTGAAATCCATGATATTACGCACGGTTGCGGGAATGATTGGTATAATAATGTTCATTTTGGTAGGATTAGTTGTTGTAATGAGGTCCACTTGAATACGCGGGAATGAGTTCTGTATGTGTACTGTTCTCATATCATACATGTTAGACATTCAATGTCAATAGAATGTCCAATAGAAGAATGCAATGTATAGGAGATTGATCGATCTTCTACAATCTGCGAATCCAAGTCTCTCATTAACACTTAAAAAAATTCTATGTACACATCCTTGTGCTCTTAAAACTTGTACACTTTCCTTGAACTTTGGTATGATAACAAGCTTTCGCAGCGATTGAATTATGTTTTACTGCAGGAAGAAATATGGAAGAAGTTAATTATGGCGCGGCATACGTGCTTCGTCGATCCACACATTTATATTACTGACTGCGAATGGACGATAGTTTGCAGGATCACCACCTATTTACCTTCCCCTATGGGAGTGTGACGCCCTGCAATATCGTAGGTGGACATCGTCGAGTAACTAATAATATTATACAATTTGCCGACATGCAAACGTTTCATTTAGTAGAGTGGTTTAACGAAGTGCGAGTCGGTTATTGGAACTTCAACGTTGCTTATACAATCATTTATAATTCCGAAATAAATTTATTATTTTGAAAAAAAAAATCAACAAGAGATGCTATGCATTAAGTCAAGCCTCGTTGATTATATAAATAAAATTTAATGAGATACACTCAATGAATGAAATTCACCCTATCTATGCGATTTTTTAATTTCTCCGTGTTAATAATGGACTGCTGCAGAATTCATTCATTTGCATAATAAGATATAAGTGTAAATATGAAAGCGCGTCGAATATCTTGCGAAGAATTTATGGACATTTTTATTTACGGGTAGGAAGCATCCGTCCTTGAGGATTCGCTCGAAGGGCTTCGCTTTCTGGCCGCAAATAACGACCAAGTAGCAAACAGAAAAAATAATGTTACTAGAATAAATCATATTTCTTACGGCTTGCTCATTCAAGAAAGAGAAGAGATGAGCTGGACAATGTGGTTGGATATAGCTATGCGAAATAGGAGGAAAGAGAATGTCTCGCATGCGACTGTATAATACAAGATTTGCGGAATGGTTTTGGCAACCAGCCACAAGCGCGATATCGGTCAGCTTTTGCTGGTGATAGATTTATCGTTAGATTTATAAGTTCAACCCCTTTGGCGCAAAGGGATGTTGTATCTTTCTGAAAATGGAGCGCGACTATCTGGCGTATTGTGCACTCCGGAGGTACTTACAATCGAAGCGTTATCGAAAGGAAGGACTTGAGAACGACGTATCGTCGTTCCATTGTCGTCGAGGTAATGGAACGAATTAAAAATTGCGGGGGCGGATCGACACGAATATTTATTGTATTGTATTCGTGAGGTTAACATCGATCTAAACTCCGAGTATGTGAATTGTATCGAGCAGTAATTAATGTTAACTATAGTTCTTTGAGCCAGATTTACATGCAATACGTTGTATTATTTATAGCGCCGTGTGTAGCAATATTTGCTTGCACATATTTCTGCAATGACAATTACTTCATTTATAGATTTTGTATATATATGTGTATACAATAGATTACTTTGCCAGAAATAACGTCCATAAGAGTTGTTGGAGTCTCTCTTGTGGTTAAGGGCTTTGAGCCAGTTTGACTACGTGTTTTCATCTTCGAACCAGGTGCGAGCGAGCGCGTGGTTAATTTTTGTGGGTTCCTTCGTGCCCTTTTCTTCTTATTTTCGTCTGCCTCGCGATCGGTTTAGTGATGGAGGGCGGTCTCGGGGCCAAATAAGTGCAGTGGCAGGGCCTTAGGGTCCGGGACCGTAACCGGTTCGCCGCCTGGGCATCATTACGATGTAACTTAAGTGACCCTGAGGAGGCTTCGAGCTGCACGATAATCAGCGAGCTGTATTATCATCGCTGAGTAACAACATTCCATTGGTGGCCTCGAAAGTGTAAAGTAGTCATCGTATAATATAGTCGAATGAACGAGTAGTCTAATAAAAAGTATTATATCACGATATTTTATTATAGCTACTTTAATTAACACAAGTCACATGTTAGATATAAAATAAATTTATTTGATTGTTTTTATTGTAATTTTATTTATTTTATTGTATCTATTGAAATTTTAAATGTCTTAAAACCATATTAAATAAACCTTACATAAACTGTATTAAAGAACATGTCTTGTTGCTTATAATCGTTTGTTTAAAATATATTTTTTTTCTTGGCAATTATTTCCGTCTTTAAGTGTTAACAGTTTACATTAAAAATATTAAATTCGAAACGATATTTTTAATTATCTTCATTTTATTTTAGTTTATCAAAATATAATATATATATATAATATTGTAAGTAATCATACTGCGAATATGTAGGTAATAAAATAATTTACATATGTTCATGCGCACACGTATAAAAAAATACATATCATATAGTTTTGCTATCGAACTGTTAACATGAAAGTTTATCTAGGGACTGGTGGTTACATATTTATTTAAATGTGGCACACACCTACCAGACCTTCTGTCACACCTGTTTGACCCGTTTCTCATGTAGTTGAGCGACCGGCCATCAGTCGGAATTATGCCGTGACAGTGTTCCTTTTCCGTGTTTATCATATAATTAGTTATAATTAGTTTGTCGTAACTTACTATTATGCATTCTTCCTACATCAGTATTATTTGCGGTACAACACGCGAATTAAATCATCGTATTACATTATAATCTTAATCTTATGAATGAATATTAGTTTGCGGGCTAATTATATAAGCCGTACTTATTGTTAACAGATATTTCATGCATTACTTATATACAATAAATATACAAAACCTGAACCTATTTTTTTATTAGAACAGGAAGCTGTAAGAAGACGTGTAGTTTGTGTTATGTAAATTTTGTGCTGCGGTGATATCAGAAAAAGGCAATTTATTAAGAGTTTGTACGTTTCACCGCAGTCTCGTGCTCTTCCAAGTACTTTGCTCTTGTTGGTTCTCGTGTCAATAGACTCGATGTATTTTATGCATGACCAGTCGGACAAGTTTTTCCTGATGACCGCAAGCGCGATGCCTGAAGCTCGGTAACATTCGATACTTTATATGCAGGTGTATCTTTGAAAAATTGAACGGGTTGATGCTCGAGGCTGGCGCTTTAATAGCATAATATAAAAACAAATAATCTTTAAAATTTTATATACATTCCAATAATTTATAGCTTAAAACAAACAGCGAAACGCTTTTTTAAATGCACATAACAAGCTTATATCTCAAGCTTTGAATCTGCTTTTTAATGAATTTTTTAAATGTTTAAACATTTTTATGTAAATATAATATTATAATATTTTTAAATCTTTTATCCTATATTTCTAAAAAATATTTAAATATGTCATATAATTTAAAATATTTAAAAAATGGCACTGTTCTTTTGATAAAAATATGCATAAAATGCATTTTGTTTGCTCTGCTTTTTGAATCGAAACACAAAACAGTAAAGGAAGGAATAATCTGATAAAAATATAGAATTTATAACAGAGTTTTCAAAAATATTTGTGTCACGCGATCATGTGTGATTTAATGTGTTAATGATGATCGCATGTTACGATCAACGATCGCACGTCAAATACAAAAGTAGCCTTCCGAGAAATTCGGCTGGAGATTATACTAGTAACATACTTTTTCTAAAAAAGGAAATCATCAACAAAAGCACACCTGTGGATTGCCAAGTAAATTACAGTAATCGGCGCTTTTGAACTTAGGATATTTCGGAAGCATAAAGAAAGAAAGAGAGATGAATGATCTAAGGCTTTTTGTTTTTTTATGAGAAACATAATTTGTACTATGAACCGATTTGGGAGGTTATTTAATAGACCAGAAAAATAAATAAAAATCGCGAATATTTCAACAATATATCTGTAAATTTTGATGATTTCTATATAAATTAATTTTTATAGATCAAATGAATGAATTACATTATTTGAATTGATTTAAAGTTTTTTTTACTTAAACTTCTAAATTCGAGATTTGATGAGATTTGTATTATACTTTGCATCTTATCGATCACTCGGTTGGCATACAAAATTATGATAAGACGGTCATTGAATCTGAAAATCCGTGGATTTTTGCGAAAAATAACCGGAGAAATCAAAGATTACTGCGTCAATCATATTTCCGAATAATAAAAACTTTTTTTATTGTCTAAGCTTCAAGCAACTTTCCTGGTTTACACAATACTTCTGTGTTCTGTAAGAATTTTTTATTGCAGTTTTTTTTTACAGAGGAAGGATCTTTGAAACGATTCTTTGTTTTATATTCGCTTCTCTCGTCCTACATTCCGTATGAAGCTTTTATACCAGTTTCAAGATACGTACATTCTTCTGTTTGATCGTACGAATCATTCCGCTATCTCTTGATTAACGCACTGGTAATTTTTCCTGCCATTACCTTTCTATCTAGACTGTTTCTACATCCTGCATGTTATGAAGTGAAATTGTCTTGCGGTCATTTACGTTTTTTAAATTATTCACTTAGTCCATTATCATTCTCATCGTTTCATAGGCATTCTCCACTGTATATCTCTTCATGCTACTTCGTCATGTTCACACATACGTATAGAACCATAATAATCGCCGTTTTACAGGAAAACCGTGCAGATAAACCTGGAACTAACTCACGTTAACTCGTTTCGCACGGTCGCGAAGTACAATGTGATTCATAATTAATTCGTAGACGTTTACCAACGAAAATATATATGTGAGATTCATTCGCGATGCAAGCTTGACTGCAAAAGCTCTGTTGAAAAGAAAAGTAGCGAATTGTTATACGTGGATATTTCTAGCCATGACGTTTTTAATAAATAAATCGACGTTTATTTTGCGGAGGCTATAGATTTGAAATCTTAAGGCAAACCTCTTTCTATGTATATAATTATCTTACATAATGCTTTAATTATTTCAAATAGTTATTAAAGGAAGAGATATAGATTCTATAATCCTTCAAAATTATAATAATTCAATGAATCTTTCGTTCAATATAAATTAATGTCCTTTAAATTAATGTCCAGTTTCTGCAAAAGCCATTTTCCTTCTCATTATTTCGCATCTGCATC